TACTTTTCCCTCGTTTTTGAAGTTTATGAGAGAATGTCCTAATTTTCTCAATTTTAAGTACAACCAGTTTAATTTCAGTGGGTACCCGAAATCGCTCATCACTGTTCAAAAACGCCTTTTCTATTAGTTGGAACACAGGTGTGTAGTCTTTCAGTGTAATCAATTGAAACAGTTATTAATTATCGTTCCTTAGATGTGTAAGTTAAACGGAATATTGTAACTCCATCTATATTTGTCACGAACTTTATCGTTCATCTTTTGAAACCGCTTCAAGGAGACAGTTTGTCATACCAGAAGTGTTGCCATAATATAACACCCTGGGCATGGGTTAGAGCATGCAGCATTTCGAGTTTCTGCTGGTCTTTTCGCACTCGTGGAAGTGTTTGCTATTGCGCCATAGTAATAGAGCTCGCTCGGCTTTGGTTTTGGGGCAAGAACTAGTTTGCGGTTAATCTCTTGCCCACGGATGTTTTTCACTCCGAAAGTAGGGAAACACTGACGTCACTTCATCTATGCAGGAGTACAAAGATATTCCTCCTTTTTAGTGTTGAAACCTTCTTGTGACTATTTCCCCTTGTTCTCAAGTAGTAAAAGAAACATTGAGTTGAGAAAGTTTTCATTTTGATCTATTCTTTTCTTTTTTTCGTGATTTCTAATTCTATAATAACTTGTTTCTAGGTGGACCTACGAGATGACCCTTCCATGTTAGAAAAATTGGCGAAAAATAAGCAAAAACCGATTTCATCGGATACAGGAGAGAAATTAGCAAAAGAACTGAAGGCAGTCAAATATGTGGAGTGCTCCGCTCTTACTCAGGTAAGCCCTTTTCGATTATTGCTCAATACATCCAAAATTGCATAAGTTTTACGGAACACTTATTTTGGGTAGGTCATTTTCATCCCGGAAGTAATAGCATTGACCACATTTAAATGAGCTGGAGCCATCAAATTGTACACGGGGAAAATGTTGTGTTCTAAATGAGCCCATTTTCGTATGCATAGCTCTTCGCTTCCCTCATCAAATTCGCAGTGCGATCCTCCTTCGCCGCTCTCGCTTCCCATGATAATACGATCACCGTGCGCCATTTGTTCGCTCATGTAGATATGCATTTACGTAGTATCGTTCAACCTTGCTTTCCAATTCCGCGAAGTTGCCTCAGAGCAAGAGTTAGATATGTTTAAAAGAAGTAAATGCTAATACACAAAACATTCTACTTGCCCATGCCGTTTTGCCATTTTTCACTGTACCTACTCCTGAAAAAATCCCAAATACAGTCCACTGTTCCTACTAAGGCTCCCTATGAGGAATCCTGGACGTGGTTCGAAGCAATGTTGATATTATGACGTTTATGGGCTCGAATTAATAAGGACAACTCCAAAATTGCGATGATGAGTTTTCAGTGGTGATTATGCTTTCTTCACAATCTTTAAGCCATGACGCAGCACTTATTCGACGATTCGCTGTCTAGAAATGTGTGCAGTCATCACAACAAGGAAGTCATTCAATGCTGTCATATGTTTTGATTCCAGAAAGGGCTGAAGAATGTGTTTGACGAGGCAATAATGGCTGCTTTGGAACCACCACCAATTGAAAAGAAGAAAAAGTGTACGTTGCTGTAAAGTATCTGACCGACATATACACTATGAAAAGGAATTTCTCATTATTCCCTTAAGCAAACTTCAGTAAGTTATGTTTCATTGTCGCTGATCAACTTTCTTACTGGCATGTCTATTCTGAGAATGACACGATTTAGTCATACTGATTCCTTCCAAGTGCGTGTATCCTCTCCCTGGCGCTTATGATTACCGTATGATGAAATTGCTTTTCAAACTGCTCTGTTCTATTATAGGATGTGCTTAATCTAAGAACCTATATCTCTATCATTGATGTTGACTGCCTTTTACCATAAACGGTTTTAAAGGAGGCTGTTTGACAAAGGTTGTCTTGTACGTAGCAACTTTATTAAATTAACACTTTTCAAAGCATTATTGTTATATAAATATTAATTTGTAAGTTCTGTTTAAATTGCAAAATAGCATATCCATCCGCACAACATCATATATTTTGGTTACACATTTATGACTAGACATATGGACTACATGGATGACTAGAATACTACCAGGTACACGGGTACGGGTTTACACACAGTGAGCAGTATAGAGTTGGCACCGATCTCGCAGAAAATTGGAATGAAGCAAAGAGGGTTGGATCGCAGTACAAAGAGCATGAGAATCATCGATCATGACAAGAAAGGGATGCAACGGTACGGTTAGGCGAGAATAGCTCGAACAGATTTTGGAGTTGAAGCTTGAGTAAAATGCTTGGAAGTATAGCGTAGTGCGTTCAACAGAGCTTCAGTCTAAGAAGAAATAAAGTAGATGGCAACCTCAATCAGAAAAGCATCTATAAAGGTTACTAACCTGTGGGGGTTGTGTTTGCTCCTTGACAACATTGACGACTGCTCGGAGATTGATGGGTGACTCTCTCACAAAAGCTCCATTTTCGTCAATGTGATCGTATAAAATGAGGCATCCAACCATTACTCGAACGCAAAACAATCGTGTTGCCTCCGTTATACGCTCAGCCACCTCAGGTGACCCGACCATATACCGACACACGCTGAAACAACACCATCTGGTTACATAGTATGCAAAAAAGAGGAAGTTCCTCAAAAACTAGAAGCGTAACGGCAACAGGGATATCAAGCATCCATAGAATGTATTACCTAACAATGGTAGCAAGGGTATCTGTTGTGTTTCCGATTGGAAGTGTTGGATGAGATCGGACAAACTCCAGTGTTGCAGAGCTCAAACTCGACAACATTGGAGTAGGAGCGGCAAGAAATAGCGATATGGAATTAGCTAACTCCACCTCCCTGAACGAAAACTGAGAAGATTCGAGTGAAAAGTGAAGAAGAAGAAGACGAAAAAATACTAACGAGGCGCTGTTGTCGAGTAGTCCTAACCCAATACCACGCCGATAGTGGCTAAAATCGTTCTGCAGAGCAGGAGTGCACATCTAAAAGATCAGAGCAGTGTCACAAGGAACGCTAGTATTTCTAACTCCATTGAAGGAAACAGGAAAACAATTTAATGGCGATTTGATAAGCTAAAATCGCACTTTGAAGAAAATAAGAACAATAAAATGCTCAGGAGCGGATGGTAAGGTCCATGCATGAAGTGAACTATAGAGGTTGAAATAATCTGGGAGATCTTTCAACCATGCTCCACAGTTTTTCTAAATAAACAATAAGTTTATCAAAAAGTGCATTGGAAAAGTTGCTTAATCCTGTTCTATTAAGGTTTTGATTTTGAAAAACCTTCCCATGGCTAGTGTCTTGGTGCAAATAGATACAATTGACAAGTTTCCTACCGAAAATCGGCATAATTCAGCACCTAATTCAGGTGAGGTAGTAGTAAACAAACACAATGATCCCATATCAAGCTGATTAATCAAGAGACTGATGAATGAAACGGCGCTTGAGCTCCACTGGAAATTTTGCCTGATAAATTTGAAAATGAGCTCACATAGCAAATTTTACATCTTAACAGTTTTACAATGATATTTAACGAGGTTTGTTTCACTCGAGGAACAGTTAATGACACTGAAGCGGATAGATATCTAGCACATACTCTCCCGCTCACTATACCGCTAATCGCTACGACCTAGTTGAGCGACACAGTCCTGTAAGCTCCTCACGCGTAGGTGAAAACAGGTCGAAAATCGTGACTTAAAGGAAAAATAAGCTAGCCCAGCCAACTTCCAAACAAAACTCGCATATTCCTATAGAAATACAACGAAATCAAAACGGAGCGAACCTTCACTGCGTCAAAATCCAAGACGAAGTCAACTAGACGAGCTAACTGTCGAGCTAACGACTGCTTTCTGTCTAATTGCTCTTCTGGTGGAAGTGGCCCAGAACAAAGATCCCACAACAATTCTGGCACCAGCTGAAAAGTACGCATCTAATCGAATCATTTACATCTCCACACCGGAGCTATCATTAAGGATGTGATGAGTCTACAAAATTCATATTATAGACAAACGTTTGTATTCCTTCCCCAAGTTTGTTAACTCATCGAAGTGGTGGAAAGAATTCGCCGAAATCATTTTCCAGACATCAATTTTCACATAACCTATCTTCGAATATTGTTATGTTACGTATCTTTAATCTTTGCCTTCATAGATACTGATAATTTGTAAACATCGAGAACTGAACCTATTCGGTAAATTTTCTGATAAAAAAAAAGAAATGCAAGAAAAACCATGCCGGAGTGTGATTTGAATACTTTCCGCTGTATTGCGTGTGCACAACTGACGTTTGCACACTGAAGTTTTTGAAAATCTCCGTTGTATTCTTGCAAAATTTAAACCAACATGTAGAAGTAGTCTACAATAATTTAAAGACGGTAATGGGAAAAGATGTGATTAAATGGTTCAGTTGCACCAAACGTCTACTATAAGACGCAGAAATTTGAAGCTGTTGTACTCCTATCAACAATATGAGCGAGATGAGCTATAGACTTTACTGATTAATCGTTTGTTTCGAAAACAGCTTCGTTTTTACGCAGAACCTGGCGGAAAACTTCGGGAAGAAAGTCTTTTCCGTACGCTCTATCCCAAAAACAATGTCATAGAAGTCGAGCTCATCGTAGGAAAAAACATATAAAAAACGTAAAAACAACAAGAACCGTTATGGCGTTAGGAAATTTAAGTGCACCTTCTCAATCCTGAGTGAAAGTTCGAAGTAACACCGTATCCGCGCTACGAAATCGGCAACCACACTCAAAGCCAAATCCCTTAGGGCTAGATCGTGTGGATTTTGGAGCGACTGCCGGATTTCGTCAGTTGCACCTTAACGATATGTTATGTTAATGTCAACAGCTTTAGAAAGCTTACTGATCTTGTAGCACCTGTATTAGGCAAATTAACAAAGCACATTTCATGAAAGGACAATCACCTTTCCCATAGCACTTGACATCGGCAAGCACTTCCGTGCACTGGTTTATTATCTTTTCGCACAGATCAAACAGGTAGCGCTCTTCTTCACGAGGAGAAGCGTTCTCGAAATCCAAAAACAACTGCAAAGCAAACACCATTAAAACGCAGATAAGCTGAGTGCCAAATCGCCGTTCTTACCTCGATGTACTCAATACTGCCTTGAGAGCCATCGCAGTGGGATCGTAAAATAGAACGCACCACTTCTCCACATGATCCTCCAGTCATTTTAATTCAAAAATTTATACAACGACGTTGTAATGGTTCATAAGAATTGCCTAAAAAAGAAGTAAGAAGAAATGAGTCATCGAAAAGAAATGTTATGTAGAGAGAGACAAATTGATAAACATCTTCGGTTGGGAATACGCCGCGCC